GATTTGAAAACAGCCTAAGTGCCCATCAGCAGATGAATGGATTAAAAAACTGTGGTACATCTACACAATGGAATACTACCCTGCAGTAGAAAAGAAAGAACTTTTACCATTTGCAACAGCATGGATGAACCTGGAGAGCATTATGCTAAGCGAAATAAGCCAGTCAATGAAAGAAAAATACCACATGATCTCACTCATTTGTGGAATATAATGAACATAAACTGAGGAACAAAAACAGATCAAGAGACAGAGAAGCATCGATCAGACCGTCAAACCTCAGAGGGAAGATAGGGGAGGGTGGGGGGAAGGGGGAGAGATCAACCGAAGGACTTGTATGCATGCATATAAGCCTAACCAATGGACACAGACACCAGGGGGGTGAGGGCATGAGTGTGGGGGGGAGGCAATGGGGGGATAAGGACACATATATAATACCTTAATCAATAAAGAAAAAAAAAGATCTCCATTCATACAGAACTGGAAAACACGTTTTCCTGTATATGCCGTACGCCTGTCGGTGGAACTACCCATCTTATAACATCCAGGGAACTAAGATAGTTGCTCCTTCCTCTTCATCAGTACGACCACATACCTCTCCAGACAGCAACAACCTGTGGAAGAACAGTCTTCGCAAAGCACAGGCTACGCATCTGCTCTCCCGTCCACTCTGTATCTAACTCCTGGGGCTTCTGAGGCTGGAAAAACAATGGCAGTTGAGGCCATTTATCTAGTCTTGTGCAGCTGCAAATTCAGTTGCTCCGGGAACGATCTTGTCTTGAAGCTCCCAATGATCTTTAACGTCCGGACTACTGCACTCACCACTCCTGTTTAAAATCCGTCTTGGCTGCACTATCAGGATCGCGTGCGACGGGCAAGCAGACAGAGGATTTGCTGATTTATTTTCTAAAAACTGTTAGCATCTCTGACCTTTATTTGAAAGAAGACAACGCTTCTTAACATTAATACTGCAATAACTTATTCGTATAAGAGAGAGAGAGAGAGAGAGAGAGAGGCATTTCCAGGGAAGAACCGAGAGGCCGTTTTCATGAGGTAGCACGGAAACAGCATGCCATGCCACGCACAGACCCTCAGGGCCGTGGAGGGACCAGCGGAGAAGAATTCACAGAAGGTTCTCTCATTCGGACAAGGATCTGCTAGACTCCCACAGCTCACAGGTGCTTAGGAGAAAATGTGAACATCGATTTGACTGAGGCTCCGCTTCGGAACGGCTGTAAGGCATTAATCAGAAAAGAATATTTAACGTCTGTTCCCTTTATTCTCTTCTCTTACCTGACCAAGCACTAGATGGCCGGAACAGTGTACTCACGTGCAGGAAGGAAAGGCAACCGCCTCCGGAATCACTCCTTAAACTACCCATGAAAACCCCGACCCTCCTGGCTCAACGCAGAAGCCGGAGCCTGGCTGGGCGGGCACTGGGGTCCTGTGGAGAAGGTGGTTTGGGGGGGGGGGGGCAGCCTGGTCACAGAGGCTGTTTGCTGGGGCAGGGAGCCGGGGTGGCTTCGAGACCCCCCAAAGGGCCAGTCAGGCCTCGCCCTTCAGAAGCCTCGGCAGCCACTGGAAGGTGGCCCCACATGGCGTGGGTTCCAGAATTTCCCTGGAGATGCCACCACAAACTCCTGTGCCAAGGGGACACTTGGCACATCCATTTTTCTTGCTGTTGAATCAGATGGGAGGGCCCAGGCCATGAAGAGCTAAGGGGGGCATGCAGGAATCTACTAATGAATGCATAGGTAAGTGGAGAAACAAACCAATGCTTCTCTCTCTCTCTCTCTAAAAATCAATCTATAGTAAGAAAAGTGTAATATGCTAATCAGACCGGACATCCTTCCGGATGTCCTTCCAGACGAAGCTGGGGCTGTGGGGGAAGACGCTCCAGTCCGGGGTGCCAGAGGGAAGCTGGTGCCAGCAGCTGGGGGGGAAGGAAGGCCTACTCTTGCACGATTTTGTGCATCAGGCCTCTAGTAAATGATATAAAAGGAGAAGAGTTAAGGGGCTTTCAAAGCCACTCAGGAGTGAGTAGGAACATGGCTCGTAAAATGGGGTTCACATCTTGTTTTGAACCCCAGCCAGTATCCTAACACGACAGGCGAAGACTGCAGTGCACAGAGGGGTGGGCACAGCCCTGGGAAGCACCCAAAAGGCCTGTTCCTGGGTGCCCTGCTGGACCAGGACAGGCACCTGGCATTTTGCTGGCACAGGGTGGATATCTGGATCATTCTCACAGGCTGACAGTTCCATTTAAAAGCTGGAACGAGCATTTTTCATGTGGGTACAGCGTGTGTGCACACACACACTCACACTCACACTCACACACAAGCCGGGCCAGTTCTCCCAGGCACAGGGCGACGTGTCATCGCGCCCTCTCAGACGCAGGCTCTTGGCTCCCTGCAGCGTCCGTCCTGGGAGAGCAGGGCTTTCAGGCTAAATTCAGTGCCTGGGGAGCCTGCGTGCTTGGAGTGCTTCTGGGAGAAAAGAAGCAGATGAATTTTTAAACAGGAAAAAGAGCGTGGATGTGTGTTTGATAATGGTCCAAGCTTTAATAGCACGGTAAAATGTTTATCTCATTTTTTTCTTTCTTAGCTAGCATGCAATCAATCTGTAACACACTGACAGAGCTGAGGAAGACCAAGGTCTGCTCAGCCACAGCTAGATGCAACCACTCAACATTTAAAGAGACAGACCAGTTCATGGGAAAGGCAAGCTCATCGCCAGGCAAGCCGCTGTTCCGAGACCATCCCTGACCGGAGGAAGGAGGGGGCTCCCGGCCCACGCGGAGGGCCCTCCGTTCTTCCCCAGCCAGAGGAGAGGGCGGTGGTACCTCTCTGGTTTGGGGTTTTAAGACGCGAACTGTCTTAGCAAATTGGCTCATTAAGTTCATCTCCCTCATGGACCCTGAATAGACTGGGTTCATTTCACCAGACTTCCCAATCCCCTCTTGGATAAAGGATGTGGGTCCAGGGAACATGGTCCAGGCTGGGATGGAAGACTGACAAGAAATATGAAGGAAATGTTCGTCATGTCAAGACAAATGAATCATGGCCCTTGCTTCTTGGGTTTTTTCATACTGAGATGGAAAGAAGGGCTGGTTATGGGAAATCAGGAAACACTGAATTGGAACATGTGAGGAAGGAGAGGGCTCCGAAGGCCCGTCTCTGTGTTCCAGATAAAGAGTTGGGAACGGACAGGGCCACGCAGGCACAGAGTGAGACAGAATCACCGGCCCTCTCCCAGGGCCAGCTCTCTCCGTCTCCGGGGAGCGGATGGAAGGAGGTGGAGAGCAGAGCGGGAGGCGGGGGTGAAGGCAGGCAGGGGGCTGTGGTTTTTGGTCACAGGCAGTGCGTGCAGGGGAACCCCTGTGCACTGATGACCGTGAGGTGGATTAAGGAGGGGACACTGTCCCCCTATTCTAAATTCCCAGTGTGTACAAGTAGTTAGGGGGTCCAGAAACGAAATAATGCCACCCTGGCTAAGTGGCTCAGTGGGTTGGAGCATTGTCACGATATATCAAGGTTGTGGGTTCGCCCTAACCGGTTTGGCTCAGTGGATAGAGCGTCGGCCTGCAGACTCAAGGGTCCCAGGTTTGATTCCGGTCAAGGGCATGTACCTTGGTTGCAGGCACATCCCCAGTAGGGAGTGTGCAGGAGGCAGCTGATCAATGTTTCTCTCTCATCCATGTTTCTAACTCTCTATCCCTCTCCCTTCCTCTCTGTAAAAAATCAATAAAATAAAAAAATAAAAAGGTTGTGGGTTCGATCCCCAGTCAGGGCACATACAAGAATCCGTCAGTGAGTGCATGGTTGGGTGAAACTGTTTTTCTCTCCCTTCCTCTCTCTCTAAAATCATAAAAAAAATTAAAAATAATGGCTACACATACTCTACCTTCGTATTTTCTATTCACATATACAGTAGGAAACATAGGGATGGTTCAAAGATACCAGGACCCAAGAACTCTGGTTATTTTCAGCACAATTTTTTGACCCACGGAGAACTGGCTTTATCCCAGATGAGACTTGACATTGTGCTTTTGTCTTTTATCCTTTTTCCCCCTTTTATATAAAATGGCAGCTCTTTCTCAGACGAAACAGCCCTCTTCCATGAATTCAAACCTTTGGGGACCTCCTGCATCACTGATCAGTGCATCTTGCCTTTCATGTGGTTGCAAGGGCCCGAGCACAACGTGCAGCTTGAGTCGGTTTGGCTGTGGGATTTATCACCTGAGGAGAAGTAGGGACAGTCTGCTGCGGCTGCCCCCGAAGGGACGTACTCCCGAAGTCCAAAGCCAGGTGAGAAATGGGCGTGAATGGAGTGTAATTTTCTTAACTCCATTCTGATTAGTGTCTAGGGAAGAACGATGATCTGCATGGTCCCAGCCCCCACTGTAAGCCGGTGTCTCCTCCCACTGTGATGCCTTTACTAGGATGGCGGGTTACCCTCTGAGCGCTGGGGCCTCATTCGCAGGAGGCAGGGCGGGGAAAGTGGCCCACGGCACACCATGAGCTGAACGGCCGCTCCCCTCGACGTGCCAGAGATATAAACTGCCGCAGGATAACCTGCGAACGCAGAGCATGTTCCACTAAAACTATGTCAGAAAGAGATGATGAAAGAAAAGAAAAAAGAAAAATGACAGGAAGCCCCAGCTGGTGTGGCTCAGTGGATAGAGCGTCGGCCTATGGACTGAAGGGACCCAGATTCGATTCCAGACAAGGGCACATGCCCGGGTTGCGGGCTCGATTCCCAGTAGGGGGTGTGCAGGAGGCAGCCCATCCATGATTCCCTCTCATCATTCATCTTCGAAGCCAATAAAAAAAAATATTTTAAAAAATGACAAGAAGCTGCTCTCTTACATACCCCTCAATTCAACGGCTTGATTTTGGCCATTTTGGGGACCACTCCTCACTAGGGATACTTCGATAACAACAAACTCTCCACAGCCACAGGATACCTTGTCATTGACGCTGTTAAGGATAACTTCATGCAGATCCAAAATAACAGAGGGAGTCATTTATTGGCTGTCCACAGGAAGTCTGGTCACACAAGGAGGTGTGGTGGGTGTGGTACAACACAAAACCTCGGTTAACTACTGCACAGAAGGTTAACTGACTCTCCATTTGCTAACCCCCCAGCAGTCCCCTGCGGCCCAGGCACCACCGACCCGGTACAATTACGCCGAATGAACTGGGGATGGATGGCATTGTCCATTAGTCTTGGTTTCTCTCCCACCATCTTCCCATGAAACAGGACTTGGAATTCACAAAAGTAAAGGAAGAAGGCAGCGCTTCCGTCTGCAGACCATCACCACCGTGAACGGACGAGCGTGGCATGCAGGCTCACATCTGGTCGTTTTTTGTCCTTTGGACTTTTTTTTTTAAAAAAATTAACAAATGGAATAGCATGTCTATTTCAAATATTAGTAGCATAACAAATAAGTGCAATCTCAGTCTGGCCACCAGTCTCGCAAGCCTTCTGTGTGTCTGTCCTGAGAGTGGCAGGCAGCAGACAGTGCGACTGACATCCGGGCACGTCCTGTCCCTTGAGCCTCTGGTCACAGACCCCGGTTCCCCCGTCCCCACGCCCTCCCTGTTCCAAAGGCCTGACAACAGCGACTTCCCTGTTTTCACCGTCATCAAAGCGGTCGGGGTGGGGAGAAATGCCCATCACACCACACCGAGCTGGGAGCATCTGGGCCGAGCGCCTCTGCGCGAGGGGATCCATGCGCTCGGCAGCGGTCCCTGTGCGCAGGGCCTGAAGTCCTCGCCACCACGGCCCTGAGTCACCGGAAAGTTGCTGCGGGGGGCAGCCCGTCGGCCCCCCTGCCTGCAGTCCGGCCGGCCCGCGGTCACACGGAGCTGAGCTTCACCAGGCCGCGCACCGAGTCCTCGTGCAGCGCGTCCTGGCTGGCCAGGCCCAGCACGTGCGCCGTGCGGCTGTGGGCCAGGGGGCTGCCGGCCAGCAGCCGGGGCGGCGAGGGCGCCTCCTCCGGGGTCAGGAACTGGTGGCCCACGTGCTCCTCTTTCAGGGGCAGTATGTCTGTGAGCCCGGCCTCGGCGGAGAGGTTGGGCATGGAGGAGGGCGGCGTGGGCTGCCCGAGCGTCAGGCTGGCACAGGGCGTGCCCAGGCCCGGCTTCCCCGACAGGTGCAGCTCGTCGCTGGCGAGGCTGGGCTCGCTCTGCAGCAGGGGCGTGGCCGCGGCCTGCAAAACGAATTTGGTGCTCTGAATGCACTGGTCTTGGTCGCACTGGAGCAGGAGGGAGCCAGCAAAGAGAAGCCCAGACGAGATGGCACGGGGTGGGGGTGGGGGAGGGGGTAGGGGGGCAGGGGGAGGGCAGGGTGCGAGAGAAAGAGAAACCCGTTAGTGACACTCAGTCAGCAGGGCAGGGAGCGTGTGCAGTAGCCGGTTTCACATGGAGACACCCAGCATGTGGTAAACCCCAACACCTGGCACCTGGGAAAGCTGCTCCAGCTCACAGCCCCCACAGGTGCCCAGGAAGGAGGGGCAGCCTTGGCCTGCCATGCTCCTGGCCCTGGTTCACAGAAAGGACCTCACTTCAAACAATCCCACCCATGCATCATAGAACTGTCCACTGGAAACTTACATAATTTTATTAACCAACTAGAGGCCCAGTTCACGAATTTGTGCACGGGTGGGGTCCCTTGGCCTGGCCGGCCATGTGGACCAATTGGGGCCGATCAGGGCCACCCAGCGGGGAGGGACTGCAGGAGGTTGGCTGGCTGCAGGTTGCCGCCTGTGGGAGCGCACTGACCACCAGAGGGCAGCTCCTGTGTTGAGTGTCTGGCCCCTGGTGGTCAGTGCACGTCATAGACCTGGGCCCACTCCTGCACACACCCAGGGGCACTTCCCGTGGCCACACTGATGATTTGTTAAAACTGTAACAAATCTGCGTCCAACCTCATGGCCAGGACCCTAATGAAAGGCTCTCTGGTTTACCTGGGGGAAAACTTAAGGACTTAAAAATGTGAAAATAAAAATGTAGCCTAAAGCATTTCATTAAAAGTATCCATCCGTGGGCACAATTACTGGAACCACGGATCTAAGTCTCAAAATGCTGCGTGCATTCCATAACTTCGGACACGGTTTGCCGTTCAACTGATTTCCACTGGAAGACCATGCCCCCTGGGGCCCGGGGCCAGGCTCCTCCCGCAGCAGCGCCCACAGGAGGCACCTGCTGGCTCCAGACCTGCCACCGGGATGGACACCATGATTCTATTAGACTCCGACCAAGGACAGTGCAACGACTGCCCAGCAGGGTTTATCACCCTCGTCATATTAACTTTGCACGCTCTCAACATCTCCTTCTCAGAAGAAACTCAATGATTAGGGAATATGTGAATTTTCTGAAAGGTCAGAGCTTTTCCTCGTTTTGCACAACCTTCATGGTTGTAAATCCCATTGGAGAAGTTCGGGGGGGAAAATGGCCAACACTTCAGGGAAAGGTGTCCTGATGCCGCGTCCTTCCCACCTCTGCTTCTCATTCTGACTTGCCCATTTCTTGTTGATCTTTCCACTGGACGGCTTTCTCCCGGTCCCACTGATTCTCTTCTCTGTCCCGCCCACCTGTGTGCTTCCCTCCCACTTCTCTTTTTCTTCTCTTCCCACCTCTCTCCTCTCACCTTGATCTTTTCGTATCCAGCCCGCTCCTTTCCTGGCGTTTCCTGTCTTCATCCAGTAGAGGGAGACATCACTGCTCAATAGTTTCTCTCCCAAGCCACCCAGCTCCGCAGGATTTATTTCTATCCCAGCACCAACACCCAGAAGCCATTGGGAGTACTTTAATGTATCTAACCAGTTACATACTCTGGGAAAATAACAAGCCCCAGGATACTGGACAACGACGATTCATTACTCTGAACAGGAAACCGAGAAACTCGTGTTTTCATTCCAAAACAACCGCTTTACAAGTTCCTGTTTATCAGATATAGGGTTGAACCACATGAAATCGCCCTTTCTTTTGGCCAAAAATCACCCCCATGCTGAGTCCTGACAGAACAGAAGTGGGATCACTCGTGAGCCTGTTTATGAAAAGCGCCCCCTGTTGGCAGCGTAACGGATACGTCTGCGCCAGAGCGCTGGCCGGACCTGCAGGAAGTCACTGCAGTGGCCGCTGATTCACTGCCCCAACGCAGCGCGTTTTACCTGCAGAGAGATTTATGGCTTCAGGTGTTCGAATGTTACAATTCAGAAGCACCCCAGAGATCATTTACTTTTTGTTTCTGCAGATTTTCAAATAAAATCGCTCATGTTGGAAGACGTTTCATTTTACCCTGACTTCATGTCTGCGGTGACCCTCAGACACAGACTACATGCGTGCGCTTTCTAGATGGTCTCTATACACATTAAGAATGAATGAAATTATTACTTAGTTTGCTCCAATTCTGTCAAAGTATCAATGCTGGGCATTGTTCATTTCTGCCTGCCTATGGCGCTGTGCTCTGGGTCTCATGGATGCTCACTTACAGTTATAAAAACACCACAAACTTTAAAACCTACCTAAAATGTAGGCTGGGAGCAGAGCTTCCTTTTTATTCTTCTATTAACATTACCATTTAAATCTGCTTAAGTTGTACTGTTCTACAATATTTGATTTTTCAGATTATGCACAAAGAGTTCTCTTGATTTACTAGTTGAGTAAATCATCCCACTGCTAGGTTTAGCCTTGTTTTGATATTGGATTAAGGGGATTTAGAAATTAGGTTAAGTAAATATATCAAATGATCTTCTAAAAAAACAAAAAGAAATCCCAACAACTAGGAACTATCTTTGTGGTTATGTGTGACCCCAAAGGAACTTCGTAGCTACATAAACTGTGACCCGGACGCTATTCACAACTTAAAAGTATTTGACAATAGGTTTAAACATAAACTATGACCCAGGTGCTAGACAGAACTGAAACTGACCATCAAATGAGATACACTAAGAACTGGACCACAAGTGATGTCACCACTGTGTACACACGCGCAGAACTTCAATACGGGGTAACAATGAGAGCCAATCGTGGGGAGAACAGGTGCTCAGGTGGCACTGAGGGTCTGCACTAATCCCAGTGTGAGTCCGGAATTTCACAGGTGCTCACACGACAGATGCTCTCCTGGGCTGCACGCACCATTTCAATGCTTTCGAGGCCACCTCGGTGCTTCCCTATACTTTCCTCCGTGGGACTGTCGTAGAGGGAGGCTGCTTAGGCACCACATACCTGTCCCCAACCACAAACCTGAGAGATGGCAAGTTAACGGTACATTGTCCTGTTTTTGAGGAAATAAATCAGACCTCAGTGTTGACTTGGATGCCAGGGCTAATTAGATTTGCCTAACCTTTCTATCCCGCACTATCATTGTGCTTCTCTAAGACCTAAAGCCTTTACCTCTCATTCCTAAAATAGCACCTATTTCCCCAGAAGCACTTTTCCTATCATCCAGGAAGTACCTTGCGGATCTGGACTTTGGTCCTAAAATAAAATAATGTGTTCATTTCCTTCCTCGGCTAAATCGAATGCCTCCCAATGTCCCTCCTTCAAAGAAAGGTCTGGCTAGAGTGCTCACGCCCCAAGGCTAATGCAGCATTATTATCCGCAGAGTGGGTAACAAAATTGTGCGTCTGGGCTTGTGGCAATGCCGGTTGCCACGTGTCCTCCAATCATAGAGACAGGCTGCTGTTCAAGGGATGATGCATAACCGATACTGGACTAGTATCCCTCTGTATATGGAGGGAGGGGTGTATAAAACTGCCCCCAATAAGTGAGATAAACGATTTCCCATAAGGCAAACAGACAAAGGGAGACTGCAATCCTGAGAGAAGGGAACTAACAAGGTGAGGCCCACAGTCAGCCAGCTCTTCTGTTGGGGAAACATCCCCAACCAGGATGCCGGCTCAGGTCTGAGCAGGGCCCAGCAGCTCTGCGGAGTGGGGCAGCTGGGTCACAGGGCAGGCCCTGGAGAAGAGGATGCTGTGCAGAGAGGGGGAACCAGCAGTCCTCGTGGGGGTCCCCCACGCAGCTGTGGCCACAGGCTCTGGTACGCATGTGCAGTCTCCCCCCTGCAGAGGCTGACAAGACAGCAGCTGCAGTGGGGCTGAGAGAGGGACACAGATACTAGAGGGCGAAAGAAGTAGTGCTGGGGGCCACTGACCTCATGAACACGGCCAACACCTTGCTAACGGCCCTGCGATCCAGGGAGGGCCTAGGGAAGCTGTGCCTTAGGAGCAAGAATCATGCCCTACAGTGAGACCCTGGAAAGTTCAAGGTGATTAGCGAGTAGCTGAACTGCTTGCTAGAATGCGAATCAACAGTCTTCTAACGAAGATAACAAAATCCAGAGTCTCTACACTATTGTCCAAAATACTCGGTATTCAATACAATGTCAACAGACATCCAGAGACAGGAAAATGTGATCTGGAGCCAGAAAAAAAGCGGTCACCAGACACCAAACCCACAGCCCCGATGTCATTATCAAGTAACGACCTTAAGCTTCCCACCCCGGCTCTTCCCCTCACCCAGTTACTTCCATTGTTGGCCAGTTGCTCAGAGTGGATACAATTGAGCTGGCTGGTCTTGCAGCCCATGGCTATGAGGGAAATAATAATAAAAGAATAATAGCTAATCCTAGATGTTAAGTGCTTTGCGTACATCAACTCACTCCTCATAGAAACCCTGCAAGGTCAGGATCCAACAGTCCCCTGGATGAGAATTCTGAGAGGTTAAGTGACTTGTCAAGGTCACTCCTCTAGTAAGTGACAACCTTCGGGCTCCTCACACACGTAGTCCCCCTCCCGGCTTGGAGGGGGGCCGAGGGAAGGCCTGTTTAGGCCTGTGGCTGGCACTGGGAGGATGTCGCTGCACACCTGTCACGGCTGGACTTCCTGGTCCAGGGCGGTGCTGTATACTGGCACCAGAGAGACCCCTGAGATTTTAACATTTCACTCTGACAGAGTTGTTCCTAAGGGCCGTTTGTGTGGGCGAGTGCAGACAGAACAAAATGTCCCGGATCGCATGGGGGGCGTGGCAAGGACTGATGTGTACACACTTTCTTCCAAAGAAGAGGAATTATTAGCAAAGCAAAGCAAAGCAAAGTAAAACAACGCAACACAAACGAAACACCACTCCCGACAAACAAACCTAGCAAAGCTGCTGGGGCTGGGCCTCGCTTCCCTGTCTGTAAACACAGTGGACGGAGGCCACGGGCGAGCGGTCTCCCTGAGCCCCAGTGGTCGGAGGCTGCGCCTTCCCCTCACAGTTCTCTGTGCTCAGAAGCCAGGGCCCGGGAGCCTCAGGCCTGGAAAGGCCTGTCAATCACGGAGCTCTGCTGTGGGTAACTCAGGGCCACAGAGGGCAACAGCGCCACGAGGCCCCCACGCCCATTCCCTTTCAGAAACACGGAACTTCTTTAGGGAATCTGGTCCAGATAAAGCTGGGATTCCCGGTGCCCGCGGAAAGCCCCCGCCCCGCCCCCGAGTCTGCCACCCAGAAACAAAGCCCACCTTTCCACGCGCGGCCACACCCGCAGCCCCTTGGAGAGGCTCCCTCAGCCTTTGCTGGGAGAGAATGAACCCTGGTCTGATTATTCGCACTCAGGTGTGCGTGGCCGGTCTGAGATTTGGCTGAACGTGGGGAACTGGCCGTGCCATCCATGGCACACTAAAGGGGGATGGGATCAGAACAGACTGAGCAAAGGGACAGAATGGGGTCTGGGCACCCTCCAGCCACCCAGCCCTGCCGAGGGCAGCTGGACCCGTCCCCCCAATGACTCTGTGGCCTGTGCAAGGGGACTTTCCATCACCAGGTGCCACAAGCTGTTTCTGGAAGAGATGTTGTGTGTCCTTCCCCTTCACAACCCCTAACACACGTGTCACTCGGCGAGAACAACCCCTTCCCCTTGCCCAAGCCTCCCAGTCCCTGGTGTCCAGGAAGCTTTGAAGGTGCGCCTGGTCTAGGGCCTCCTGGTCTACGGGAGTCTGGTCTAGGGGCGCCCGGGCTAGGGGTGCCTGGTCTAGGGGCACCAGGTCTAGGGGCGCCTGGTGTAACTGGGTTAGCGAGCACAGAAGCGTAAGAGAACCCTTCCAGGGTGTCGCCCTGCAGGCAGCTCCTACCATGTCGCTCTGCGAGGCGGTGGCCCCGTACGTGGCCAGCCCGTTGGAGGGCGCGGCTGGCTGAGGCGTGTCAGGCTGGACGTACCCTCTTCTGTCAATGAGGCTACAAGAGAGAACAAAGCAGAACAGGAGGAGAGTGAGTAGAAAGCCGAAGATGCCATCAACACTGTTTATTTCTACTTGGGGGGTCCCTCTTCCTGTGCAGGGAGCTGAATGTGGGTCTGTAGCTGTCGCTGGGAAACGGGAACCGCCCCCCCCCCCCCCCCCCCCAATGAGCACATTGTCATACCGCGTAGGAATGTCTTAGAGGAAACTCCAGTGCACGATCCCGGGCACACAGCTGCTGCCACTGTTAATGTCATTGTCGCATCATCACCACAACTGCCGCTGCTTCAGCCCGCACACGTCTGCCTCTAACTATTTTGGCACTGACCTTCTACACAACTCACTCTTAACTCAGTTCCACAGGTTTCCCAATTGCTTCCTGCATCGTGTCCTGGTTCCCTTGCTGTGCTAACGACAGCTCCCTGCTCCCCACTGACCCACAACAATAATTCATGAGGTCACATGCCTCAGTTTCCCTATTTGACCCTGAGGGGATTTATCCCAAACTGGACACAAATTCATTGGAAGAACCAAGAAGGCGTCAAGTGCAACACAACAAACAGCCAGGTCTCTATGGTCTTTATTTCACTGAGGCCGTACCCCGTGGCACCAGTGGACGGTGTGGCCTAATCCACCTGCAGCGGCCACATCTCTTCCCAGTGGGGCCTGTGCTCCCTCATCTAAGGCGTGTTCTAGGGCGTGTGCTAAGGCGTGTTCTAGGGCGTGTGCTAAGGCATGTTCTAGGGCATGTGCTAAGGCGTGTTCTAGGGTGTGTGCTAAGGCGTGTTCTAGGGCGTGTGCTAAGGCGTGTTCTAGGGCTGTGGTAGGGCGTGTGCTAAGGCGTGTTCTAGGGCGTGTGCTAAGGCGTGTTCTAGGGCTGTGCTAGGGCGTGTTCTAGGGCTTGTGCTAGGGCGTGTGCTAAGGCCTGTGTTTTCGGAGCCTGGTGAGGAGCACCCTGCTTTCTGAACCTCACCTTGGAGAGACGGGCCCACACAGGGCCACACAGCAGTTCGTGAAGATATTTCCGTAGCTGTAGGGGTTGTAATTTTCTTTACCTCTTTTATTTGACCAAGATCCTTTAATCTGAAAGAAGAAGACAGGAACACAGCATCCTTCACACCAATGCCACAGTCTGAGCGACTGGACCACGAGAAGTCCGTGGGAATGCAAATCATCTTCCCTCCGTCTGCGGCAGGGATGGAGATGCTGCTCTCAGGGAAACTGGCATTTATGCCCAACCTGGGAACACCTCCAACAGCAGGCAGACTAGGGAGAACGCATTCTCTGGGGACGAGCTCTTATTGCTGCTACGTAGCGCCAGAGGCCGCTCCCACGAGCCACGCGATCCGCTCACGCTCACATTCAGTGCTCAAACAGCCACCAAGTGAACGGCAGCGGCAGGGGTACCGGGGCCCGATTGCCAGTTTAGAGCCGTCTGAATTTGGGCTCAACGTGTTGCCAAAGTAACTGTGCAGATTCTAAGAGTCACAGTTACCAAATTAAGTAACTGTTCATATTCTTGCATCTCATCGGTGCTGGTTTTCTCGAGCCTCTATGGCAAATGGAGCGATTCGGAGACATGGGCTGATACTTAGAGCAGAGAGGAAAATGAAGAAGCATTTCCCAACAGAATGTGTCTTGTTTTGATGCCCCATCTCCATCCGCATGAAGTAGAGGCAGGTAACCCTGCGCAAACGTTAAACTTTGGGTCTGGCCGATCCCGAGAGCCGACGTGGAGACGTTAACTAGGAGGCAGGCTCCACGTTCACCTGCGATGCCACCTGCCCCGTCTCTCCTTGGGCTTGGTGGCGAGGGGCTCACATCACCACTGCAGAGGAACAGGACAGACCCTGGCTCCTAATCTCGTCTTTCCCTCCCCGCACCCCCCTCGGTTCCCGAACACAAAAGCACAGCCCCAGCCCCACGCTGCAGGAACTCACATCTTCATTGGTCGTCTGGTTGGAGCTGATGAGATACGTGTGGAAGCCCAGGAGCCCGACGATGGACCAGACGGAGAAGAAGCACACCACGGCCTCCAGCACGGTGACCGAGTCAAGGCCGGGAACTGAGGAATGGAGCTCTCGAGTGCCCGGGGGCTGCGGTGGCTGGAGGCGTGGACGGGACACCGCAGACACCCACTTGGGCCTCGAGCGTCTATCTAGCCTTCCCTGGTGAGCTCCCTGCCCGGAGGGGCACCTGGGACAGGCCCTCCCCCCGTCCTCCCGCCACCTGCCCAGTAAATGACGGACGGGCTCCCTGCATGTGGCCTGCTGACTTCTTCACGGGCCTCGGACTGTCCTCCCTGCCTGACCGCCTTGCCTTTTCCTGGTGACTCACACTGGGAAGCCACCGACAGCTGCACCGGGAAGCGAGCGGCTGGAGCTGGCAGCGGCCCCGCCTTCACCTTCGAGGGAAGGACTCCACATTGAGCATCACTTCAAGCACAGACTCTCAGTTTGGCTACTGAGCGCCGAGGGCTGTGGTGCCAACAGGTTTGTCCCCGGCCTGAGGGCGAGGCTGTGGGGGGCTTGTTGCGGGGTGACCGTGGGTGGCTGTGCCGGGGGGTGGGGGGGTGTCCTCAGGGCTCTCCCTGGGCAGCCCTCCCACACCTGGGTGCTGCCTGCTCCCACCTCACGTGGGCTTCCCAACCAGCGGGGGCATTTCGCAGACTGGCTCGGGGTGAGGGTCATTTTATTTGGGGACGCTCCCCCCCGCCCCTCAGCCAGGCCTGACACAGAAGGCCTGGAGGCTCACGGTGTTGGGTGACGGGCAGACCCGCAGGTGTTATAGCCACAGCAGGAGGAGGCTGCGTTCTTCAACAGAGCAGATCATCGCCAAGGGTGGGGCAACGTGAAAAGACTAGAGGGTTTTTCTGTCCCCCAAATGTTTATAAAATTCTATTTACAAGATACAGATGTTTCTCGGGGGGAAAATAATTCTCATAGGCCTGGGAGTTTCAGTCTGCACCATGCATCCCCAGTAATGAATCACAGGCCAGAGAGAAGAAATACTCAGGCTTCCTGATGCCCCCACGCGTGACAGAACCACTGATTTTCTTCAGGGCTGGAGGTAATTCCCCTTCAGACCAGAGACATGCGTACACTTGCCAGGGCAGTGCCATGATCTGCCACGTCACAGTGACTGCGCACCCGCCGGGGGCGGGGCTGCCTGGGGAACAGAGAAATGAGGGGTCCAGGCTGCTAACGCACCGTCAACATCAGGACACGCGGCTGGCTGCTCCGGGAGAGGCGGACAGCGCTTCCCTTCTCCAAGGTCTGAGCCTCGAAGCTGCGAGCTCACAGAGAGGCAGCCCTGAGGCAGGAGGACCTCTGGGGGGAGTGTCCCCAGGCAGGCTGGCCGAGGGGGACAGCCGGGTGGTCTGGAGTCTAGACTGCCAGCACACGATGTCCCGGCTGCCCTCACGGAGGAAGGAGGAGAGGAAAACCAGGTGGTGTTTTGGAAAAGCAGACAGACGTGGCTGGGCAGGGGTAAACACGCAGGGTAGGAGGGTCAGCGGGGGAATAGGGAGATGCAGAGAGGTGGACCCCTCCCCATCCATGTTAATCTGCTTTTCCCTGCGCAGCCCGGCAACCCCTTCCTTCTCCCAGGGCTGCCCCGGTGGCAAATGGTTCCGGTGGGAGGCCTGGTGTGCACCTGGGGACACGTGGACAGCGGCCTACGTGCCGAAGATGGTCTCATTCTCACTGCCTTCCGACAGGTCGCTCTCGCTGGTGCCCCTTCTAACCCCATCGGCCACCCAAGAGGGGCAGGCTGAGGGGGCAGCCCGCTGGGAGCCGTGCCCCCCTGTGTGAAAGCAGAGGCGGAGTGGAGGCCAGGGACAGCGAGGAGGCCAGGGGCCGGCAGCCGGGAAACTGGGTGTCCAGGGAGGTGATGCTGGCAAGGAATCTGCAGAGGCTGGCGGTCAAGCCAAGAGACAGACACATGAAGCCAGCCAAGAAATGGTCGAGGGTGGAAAAGAGAGAATATAAAAAGGAAGCAAAGACTTTTCACCGAACAACACATGACCAGCTGACCTCAGAAGTGCTCCGTGTCCCCAGAAGTTTACTTCCAGGGCGGCCGACGGCCATGCCCAATACACACAACATTCCTGTGTGCGAACCATGGGAAACTGCGAGTGGAGGTGAGGGACAGCGGTGAGCGTGGCTGCCCAGATCCTGTCCCTTTGCAAAGCCGCCTCTATCGCCACCCCACAGGCAGGCACTGTTTTCAGGTGGATGTGGAACTTTAAAGGTTTAGCGCAACAACAAAATATGAAGCTTTCTATATTAGTATCTCGTGCCTTAGAAACGTTTTATAAATAGCAGAAGGCAGTCTCCCCATCAGCTCACTGCGGTGTCAAAATGACAGGATGCAAGGTGGGGTGTAGGCCACAGCCCCCTCCAGCTCCTCCCACAGCGGCTCTGAAGGGAAATCATCACCTTTCCTGCCCATGGCTGGCATCACGGGCACATGCCAGGTGCTGGCCAAAGGCTTCACAGGGACGCACTTAACCCTCAGATCAACCCAGTGAGAAGCACAATTCCCACTTGACACCGAGGGAAACTGAGGCAGGAAGCAGTTAAGAATTTGCTTAAGCAACAGCAGAGCTAGGCTTTGAACCCTGGGTGTGGCTCTTCTAGTGTGACGACCTGTGGGCTGGCTCCTCTCTTCGTTCTTGCTGGGGCAGCGGCTCCGGCTCCCCGTCCCCCCTCTGCTGGGGAGTCCCCGTCCGGGTCCTGCAGGAGCCGGACCTGCACACTCACCCTGACTGCGGCACCCACACCTGATGACACACCTGCTCCCTGACCCTCACAGATGCTGTCTATGCCAGAATAAGAATAATATGAGTTTCTCTGAAATGTATAAAAACCCATGGACTGATTTTTAAAAAAAGAGAAATGAGAGGAAATGTGCCAACTCAGAAAAAATGCAACAAACAACCAACACATTTTTCTTATGACTTCAGGCGGCTTAGAAACTCCCCCGACGCAGCTCCACGGACACACACTGACCCCCGGGAAGATGTCCTGGTTTGTTCTAACCCTCTCGTCTTACAGACCGGAAGCTGCGGCTCAGAGTCCTCCAGCCACTTAGAAGAGCTCCCAGAGCAGTTCACGGTGAAACGGAGCTAGAACGTGGTCCTCCAGACTTCTGGGGAGAGAGAACCTCCCCAAGGCCACCAGCAAAGACACACCGACCAGCGGCCCCGGAGGGTCCGTCCTACCCATCGCACGTACGTCCTCACTAACGAGCAGGACTTCGTGTTCTAAGCACATCACGACCCGGCAGAACTAAAGCCTGCTCTTCTGGAATACACATTCCTGATGCAGCAACGCAACTCACCACTTTCCAACCGCTTCACTCCACGGACAGGGGCATCCTCCTCCGAAGCAAGTGTTTCCACAGAAAACACCCGTCAGGACAGGGGGCGTGTGGCACTCACACCACTGCCGGGGGCCAGGGGTTGGTGACACACATGAAGTATTTGTGAGCTTTTTAGTGAAAAAGCCCAGCCCCTCACTTTTAAGCATGGACATGCTCCTGAAATCCTCCTCTATTTCCAGAAAGAATAAGGAAGATGAGGGCTGGGAGCGGCGCCCGGACGCCCACTCGCCCTCCTGCTCTGCCCCTTGCGCACGGGCAGCTCTGCCGTCGCATTTGCCTGACCCTCGTTCTCGCCTCTCATTTGCTCTGGGGGAGAATTGGGGGTTTTGTCGGACTCTTTTGTGTTGGCTGAGGAGCTGCCCTGGGATATTTTGGCTTTGGCGTTAGGTCACCTTTTTCCAGGCAGGAGCCTGGCATGACAGTGGGTCAGGAGATGCCACAAAACCAGTGGGACCGAATCAGCAGGAGCAAAGCTATACGGATAATCCCTGTAAACTGTGCTGGTTCAGTCTTCACGGGGCTTCTGTTACCATTTTCAACTTGAACTCAGGGAAGGGAGGATAGATCGATCGATCAATCTATCTATCTACCTACCTATCTATCATCTTCTTATGTGTCTGTGTGTATAAACATACATATTTTTTTACCCATCCTTTTTTGTCTCTCATCCTGTGTCTCCTTAATAACAGAAAGGGCAGAACAGGGGAGGGAGGTCAGCGATGTAGACTCAGAAGTGACCAGGCAGCTAGTCAGCTGCATGAGGCCTGAGGGGCAGACAGAACAAGGGCCTCCCCAAGGATGCCCAATCCCTGGCACCTGAGAACACATTACCTACCAGTCAAAAGGGAGTCTGTAGATTGCAGGTAGGGACCTTGAGATGGGAGGTTACCCAGAATGATGAGGGCGGGGCCCGTCTGCAAAGGCAGGGAGGTTCTGGCTGAGGTCAGAGTGATAGCAGAAGGGAAGGAAGGAGAGATTCAAGGTGTGAGAGGGACTTGATCCACTGCTGCTGGTTTTGAAGAGAAAAGGAGCTGTGAGTCAGGGAATGCATCAAGAAATGGGGACCTGTCCCGTTCCCCAGCAATTCAGCCAGCCCCCGCGTGAGCTTGGGAGAGATGCTCCCCAGGGCCTTCAGGTAAGAGTCCAGGTTGGACAACACCTGGATTCCAGCCTGTGGGACCCAGAGCAGGATCCAGCGAGCCCACTGGACTCTGACCTGCAGGGCTGTGTGACAATACATTCATGCTGCTTAAGCCTCTAAACCAGTGACGGTGAACCTATGGTTCCGGCGGGAGGCCTGGTGTGCACCTGGGGACACGTGGACAGTGGCCTATGTGCCGAAGATGGTCTCATTCTCACTGACACGCGAACTCACTTTTTTGGTTGATTTTTCTTTGTTAAATGACATTTAAATATATAAAATATCAAAAATATAAATCTTTGTTTTACTATGGTTGCAAATATCAAAAAATTTCTATATGTGACACGGCACCAGAGTTAAGTTAGGGTTTTTCAAAATGCTGACATGCCGAGCTCAAAAGGTTCGCCATCACTGCTCTAAACTGTGGCTCTTTTTTAAAAATATATATATATTTTATTGATTTTTTACAGAGAGGAAGGGAGAGGGATAGAGAGTTCAAAACATCAATGAGAGAGAAACATCGACCAGCTGCCTCTTGCACACTCCCCCCACTGGGGATGTGCCCGCAACCAACGTACATGCCCTTGACCGGAATCGAACCCGGGACCCTTCAGTCGGCAGGCCAACGCTCTATCCACTGAGCCAAACCGGTCAGGGCTAAACTGTGGCTCTGTTACCCCAGCCACAGGAAGCTCACACAGCCAGCAGTGCTGTGAGGGGCCTGTCATGCACTCAGGGCAGGTCGAGGCCACCAGGCTCCTGACCGTGAGGCCGGCTTAGGAAACAGCCTCGAGGGACGGCATCAGGCTGTGGGGGAGGGTCAGCAGCGCGTTGTGGCAACACCGGAAAGACAGTGGCTGAGGTTCTGTGAGTGTTCACACACCGGGCCATGGGAAAAGCCTTCACCTCCGCCTGAGAATGAGCTTCTGAGAGAAAATAAGCTAAAATTCTGCTCTGGACCAAATAAGAGCCCCCCCCCCCCCCCCCCCCCGTGAATAGTTTCTGCAGCGAAGTCGGCGTGCCACCCAATACATCCCACTCTTGCCTTCCTTCCTTCATCAGCAGCATCTGCCTCTTCTCCTCGTGGGGAACGCAGTGCACTGGGCTCTGCAGACTCTGAGCACAGCCAGACCGTGAGGGCAGCAGACGTGAGCTCTGGCGGGGGCCTGGCAGAGCTGCCCACCGCAGCAGGCGCCTCCTTGCGATCACTCCTCCCACGCACGTGAGCGATGCTTTGGCACTGAGCATGCTCACATATTCCCAAATAGTTGATTTTGTTGGCATAGCACTGTCTAGCACAGAGCGGTGGACTTCTGTAACCAACAGCCACACATTAGAGGCTTAAAGCAAAGCCTAAAGCAAAGAACTGAGACACAAAAGGGTTTGAAGAAATGAGCGAACCTCATAGTTGGCTGTGATGGAGCAGGAGGCAAAGCTGTTACCCGTCTAGGACTTGCTACCGGTCTTTCCTTACGACTCACCCCAGGATGGTGAGATGATAAGATCCTCCCTGGGTGGGGAGGTCTGTAGTGGACGGCACACCCCCAGCAACAAGCCCAGCCACACAGCTGCACTGCTCAGCGGGGAGGGCGTGTCTGCAGGTGCCCACAACAACCCCGGGGGCGGAGCAGCTGAGCTCTCTCAGCCCCCCCCACAGCGGGGAGTCCCTGTCACTGACGTCAGTCTGCCCCAGACTGAGACGTATGCAGGTGATGTGTACGTCATCTCAGTAAAGAATTCCCTACCACGAGATGAGGACTCCTGGGAATAACGGGGAGTTCAAGTCCAGGCCACCTGGTTACCTGAAGACGAAAGAGAGCCTGGGCTCAGATGGATTGGTCAGTGGGGCCGGCTGGCAGGAGCCACACCAGTGAGTGGAAAACCTCAGTAGACGGGGAAGGGAGTGGGAGCGCACGCAAGAACTTAATGGGTGAACATCTGCCTTTCAAGAAGTTTAAAATACTATGGTACATGCCCATATATACCGAGAGGCTGGGACTCGCCCACATGACTTGGGAGTGACCGTCTTTGGTCCAGCCAGGGCTGTGAAAGGTGTTCCGTTTCTGAACATAGATACAGGTCATCTGTACGGCCCAGAGGAAGGCCAAACTGACCCCAGACAGAATCCAGACAGAGGCTCACGGGGTTCCCCTCTGGTGGCCGCCCTCAGGGACACCCATAAAGATTCTGTAGGGACCACCCGCTGATCAGCACGAAGCCAGTTTGTAGCTTGCAGCCTCGCTTCTCCCCAAACCAACCTGAGGGAACCCAATCATGTGGGTTCCTGGGGTGGGCAAGACGCACACTTGCTTTCTAGCTAAAGAGCACGCCAACCGAAACGGCGCACTGCGCCACTCGGAGATGGAGCATTCGGACGCCATTCCTCGTGCAGGTGACGTCAGGGAGTTCTCGGGGTGCTTTACGGGACAGAAAGAATACGATTACCGGGAAGACAAGCCAAGGCACGGGGTGGAGGGTACCCAGAGGTCGGTCCAACGCGTAACGCCTGAGCCTTTCACACACAACACCACAACCACAAAGGATATCTGGCGGGACTGTCCTTAATCGCATTAAGGAATCCTGTTTGCTGTGAACCTGGGGGGACAAAACAACATTTAGTATTAAGACCAACACTTAGAATTCAAACATTCACCCCCAGAAAAACAGCCTTCATGCGGCGCTCTCCCATCTGCACGGAAATAATCGGTGTCTCAGGATCAATGCAGGAACTGTGTCGTGTATGTGCTGCGGGCCCAGGGCACGGCCTGGATGGCGATGCCACTGAAGCTGCTCAACAGGAAAATGGCAGATTCACGAGAGGCAACAGCTGCAGGGTGATTTTTCAGTCAAAGCAGATGGATGTCTGCATCCTCGCCCATAAATTGTAGTTCTGATGACTCCTTTGTTTCCCTAATTTTAATAGGAAAACAGAATACTGCATGTGGTTTTTTCTCTTCTTTCATGAAAGACTGTTTTCCCAGGGTTTGTTAACCCCTGACTCTGGAGGTCCTAGGAACGAGGCTACGTATAAAATATATCTTTCTCTGCGCCCAAAGTACGCACACGCGTTACGCTGAGGTCTACTACTGACTCCTTTTGGGTTTAAGACGTGTTCATGTGAGCTGTCTGTGCCAGAAAATATTTCTCTAAGGGCTCAAGTGAAGATGCATCTGACAAGAGGCAATCTTTAGTTTACGGATTGACATTATGGTTTCTGTGACTCACAGCCCATAGGAGGAACCGTGGCTGCTCCATTGTGGGGGTGATGCGGGTCCCTGATGTACTGCGCAGAGCCCTGTGTTTGGGGACATGGTGTGGCTCTGGGGCAGCGATGAGATGACCAGGGAGGACTGACAGAACAGGATGGTCCTAGTGCATTCCTGCGGCACACGGGGCTGGCGTGGCTGCAGCGTGGGAGCTGCAGGCAGGGTCCCAGGCCCCGCTGTGTGCGTGGAAACCTGTCCAGCGATGGGAAGGCTGTGAGTGGACGGCTCCACGTTCTTCCTCGAGTTCCCATTCCCTCTGTGCGTCGCCCCCTCCTCTGTGCGTCGCCCCCTCCTCTGTGCGTCGCCCCCTCCTCTGTGCGTCCTCCCCTCCTCTCTGTGCCCACTGGCCACCGCGAGGCACGAGGATGTGCCTCGTGAACTAGGATGCCAGCCGTGGGAGAGCCAACAAGGAAGGCTTAGGGCTCCTCTTCCATCCCTGCTAGGGCCATAGGGCAAAACCCGCAGGGGCATGTGGCAGGTCTGAGCAAACACAACCTCGAGGCAAGACAGGACCCAAAGCAATGATTTCTCTGTCCCTCCTGGACCCAATGTGTATCACTTTCCCAAACTCTCCTTCTTCCGTGAGAATTCCAGACCTCGCCTTGTCAGGGATCTGCGATAACAGGTCCTCACCCCACTGTACCCTCCCAGCCCCGTCCCCCATGACCCGGCAGGGAGAACTCGGGTGACAGCTCCCCAGCTGCAATCTTAGGCGGTCATGGGGACTAAGATCAAGCCAAATGGGGGCGGGGTGGGGGTGTTGGGGTGCAGAGCAAGAGGAGAGGAAAAGCATTATTTGCGTTTGTACAATCCATTCGGGTAACGTGTGGACAGATCCGTTCCAAGTGGTTTTTGTGTGGAGACTGGATTAACAATACGCAAGCATGAAGCCCCAGCAAAACTGTTTTCTGAGCTCGGGCAAGTGAAGTGTAAAGGAGGTGACAGTGAACTGTACATCACAACCCGCTGTGGTCAGGGGGGGCCTCCGTGTGTGTGTGTGTGTGTGTGTATATGTTCCCAGAATTTGTGTGTGTGGCTAAGCAAATAAAAACCGGCCCTTATTATCCAGAATGTAAGGGCAAGGCCATACATACAATGTGATCATATATATAGGAAAGCATTTTGAGGCTACTAAAGATGACACTCAGCTGGTTTTGCTCAGTGGTTGGAGTGTTGGCCCATGGACTGAAGGTTCTGGGTTTGATTCTGGTCAAGGGCATGTACCTTGGTTGCAGGCTCTATCCAGGGCCCCTAGAGGGCAACCAATCGATGTGTCTCTCTCACATTGATGTCTCTCTCTCTCTCTGCCTCCCCCCTTCCCTTCTACTCTATCTAAACATCAGTGGAAAAAATATTCTCGGAGGAGGATTAACAAAAAAATATAAAGTTTAAACACTGTTTTGTAGTGTCACAGAAAGTGTGCTGGAGCAGCACATAACTCTCCACTGGTGAACGCAATCGCGTCTTCTCTCTGATTCTTCGGGCTGTTTTCACAGATAGGATCCCGGCTGCTTCTGCCATTATCCGGCTGAAAACTGCAGAGCCACGTTGGCATCCCCCCCAGGCCGCATGGGGGCGGCCTGAACGAATGTCACCCCTGTTCTTGCAGCCCCGCCAAGTGATGGCATGGCGCTCAGGCATATGTTACAAATCTGTGTCACCTTCAGATGGAGGGATTTCAGTAAGAAAAAATGGGAACTAGGATTTAAAATGCTGTTGAAATTTTGGGGTCCTCCATTTAATGTCCAAAATTGACTAACATCTAAAAAGAACTAATGTGAGTCCGACCGGCGGGGCTCAGCAGTTGAGCGTCGACCTATGAACCAGGAGGTCGTGTTCGATTCTGGGTTCCGGGCTCGATCCCCAGTGTGGGGTGTGCAGGAGGCCGCCGATCCATGATTCTCTCTCATCACTGATGCTTCCATCTCTTTCTCCCTCTCCCTCCCTCTCTGAAATCAATAAAAATATATTTAAAAAGAAAAAGAACTAATGTGAAGCTTTCCTTACTATCGACTTCCCCAGCCCCACACAGGCCCACACGGGCCCCCTGGGGAGAAGCGAGGAAACATTTCTGGCTGCAGCCTCAGTGCACCCCCTTTGTGGTTTGAGAGCTGCTGCCTGGGAAGAAAGTGAGGCATGTACTCAGATACTTTCTGGAACATTCCAGAAAGAGGCTCTGTACTTGCTAATGGGTGGCTGTACTTCAGGAATGTGGACAAGAGACCCCGCTGGTCTTTAATGTTGCTAATGGCACTGTAATGGGAGTTTAAAGGCTTAAATTTATAGTTCAAAGCCAATTAACTTCCTTCTCATCACTGCCTATTGTAGGAAAGTAAAAGGCCAAGAGACAAAAGAAACAGTTACGGCCTTCAGAATGGGGAATGAAAAATGCCGTTGGCTTAGACAAATACATATATCAAAGTTCTTTACATCCAAATCTCATTTTTAATCAGGCTGCTTCCTTTCAATGCCCGCCGTAGCTTCCTCATGTTCTAGCAGATAACTGAACATCTTATCCAATGTGAGCCTTTAACATGTAGCTCTGTGTGCAAGAAAACCCAGGCTTTATCCCCAGACACCTTTTTCTAGGGAGGTGACTGCTCTGCTGAAGTAGACATCACGTTAAAAAATTAAAAAGCCCGGTGATTAGTGCAGCACAATATCCTTTGAGAAAATGTGGGGGTGATTCTTCCAGGGGGCTCCCTAGCAGATGAGAAGTGCAGTCACTGAGGTGGGAATAGGGGCAAGTATCAAGGAAAAAGTGGGGAGCCTGTCCCAGGTGTGACCAGGCAGCTGCCCCTGGAAGGATGGGGGATGGGGAGTGGAAAGGAGGGGGCTGAGGTGGGAGGGAGGAAGGCAGAAGCAAAAGGGGGGGGCAGCCGGAAGTGAGGAGGGGACAGGGAGAAGGGGGGGAGAAGGAAGAGAAAGCCCGGAATGATCAAAATAGTAAATCAAACTTAAATCAGAAAACCGAAGTCAGGCAAATGGTTACATACGTAATCTGATTCCACCAGCATACTTACGAAGAATGACGTGGGTGATAACGAATGCAAATATAAAGACTGTCAGAAAAGACAGAGATAAAATAAACATATAAAAAAATCTGTAGTTTCTTTTCCCCACACAGTTGCCTACCCAGGGACAGTGGTGATCAAACCGTTCTGAAAAGAGAGGCAGAAAAGAAAAAAAAGGGGAATCAATTAATCAAGTGTCTTTTTACATGAAGGAGCCTCCCTCCCTCCCCACCCAATGCCGATAATACAACTAAAATAACACAACTACGTATTTACACAGGAGCCCTCAGAGCAAGGCTTAACATGAAGACACTTCAAGAACATGATTATTCTTTCCACAGAACTTGTCTGTTTAAAGGAAACAAAGAGTATACATTTATTCTCATTACAATGAGAAAAGTAAGATTTCACCCTTTGGTAAAAAACAAAACAAATGCAAATATAAGGACTCTGGTTCACAGAACTGTCTTTCCTTAAGATGGTACCAACGCCTCTGACGTCAGTGCTGGGCAGGATGGTGTGCGGTCCCGCCTTCGTGGGTACAGGTTCTCATGGAGACCATACCGAGAGGTCCCAAGGGGCCGGGACAGGACAGAGGGACAATCCCTGGCCTCCCATCCCAATGACAACTGTTTCCTAAGAAATGTCTCTGCTATTTCAATAGTCGGAGAAGAACTGATATTATTATTATTTTAAAAAATATATTTTTATTGATTTCAGAGAGGAAGGGAGTCGGGGAGAGATAGAAACTTCCATGATGAGAGAGAACCATGGATCAGCTGTCTCCTGCATGCCCCCTACTGGGGATTGGGCCCACAATGCGGGCAGCTGTCCTGACTGGGAATTGAACCCGTGACCTCCTGGTTCATAGGTTGACGCTCAGCCACTGAGTCACAAGAAGCAGCCAGTCCTCGCAGAGGATCTGGAGAGAAATCCCAGCGTCACGGTCCTGGTGACAAGCCAGTGGCCTCTTAGTTGCCGGCCCTCAAAGGAAAGCAGTCTGACTGGCGTGCCATCTGGAGAGCCGGGCTCCGAGTGCAGCTGGAAAGGGAACCCGCGCCCAACTATGTCATTTCCCACGTCAGTGACCTACACGGGCTGTGCAGCGGCGAGGTCCACGGGAAGAAGGGCAAAGAGAAGACACGCGGATCAGCCAGATTTTCCTAAGACGCTGAGGCTGTTGTCTTGGGAGACCTCTTCCTTCTCTACCCAGGAGCGCAGGAGATAGTGAGGCGTGGAGGCTGGACCAGAGGCCTGGGACGGAGCCTCTATTCCAGCTGTGAGGCCGACTCCACCTCTTCCAGAGCTCACGCCGCAGAGGACAGCAGGGCGTGGGGGCATGGTTAACAGCCTGGGCCCCACGCAGTGCCAGGCTGCCTCTCCCCCCTCCATGGACACCCGCTCTCACGGGCAATCTCTCTACCCCAAGTTCCAACACCAGCTCTACCCGACGGCGCTACATGCTGTCTCCAGCAATAGCCTCGAGCTGAGCCACCCAACAACTCAGCCTTGACCCCAGAGAGAACTTCCCTTATTCCTCCCCAAACACACACCTCTTTCCCCTTCCCACCTCCTTTCTGTCAACCCAGAATCCCACCATTCTTTTTTTCCTTTAATCCTGAAAATACGTTTTTATTGATTTAGAGAGAAAGAAAGAGAGAGAGAGATCAGTTGCCTCCCATACACACCCCGACCAGGGATCGAACCCGCAACATTTATGGTATATGGGATGACGCTCCAACCCACTGAGCCATGTGGCCGGGGCCCAGGCACCATTCTTGACTCCGTTCTTTCCCTCCCCCTCACATCTCATCCATGAGCAAGTCCCATCAGCAACTCCCACTGTTATCTAAAATTATCTTAGTTATTTGCTTTTCTCTGCCCTCCCTACTCTGAGCCATTAACAAATATCTGTCACGTAAATGAATGAACCTTCTTACCACCAACAGGACACCCAGGCGATCAAGCGCATCGCGGATGTCACCGAGCTGGCGTGCAGACCTGGACCACTAAATGCCGGTGCCACCAGTGAGCAGGTGCCAGCGCCCGGCAGGGTCCAGGGCGAGGCTGCCGCGAAGGAAAAAGGCCACGGCGCCCGGCTTCCGGGCCTTCCTTGCCTTCTTCAGGGGGGACCCTTATTCTCAGACTCCAAATACTCCTCAGTCCCCAGGCATGGACTCTAACAGGGAAACCTAACTCAGTGTGGAAACCAGGCTGCTCTCCCACCACACAACATCCTCCCTTCATGGGTCGAGGATAAACTGGGACGGGGTGAGGGCGTGGGGGTGGCTCGCCCAGTCCCGCACGGTTCTGCTCTGAACGCCCCGGCCCTGGCTCCAGGGAGGGGGGGAGCCCAGGAGCTGCCGGGGGCCGGTCTGAACGGGAGGCTGATGTGGCAATGACTCGTGCTTTTTCAAAGACCCACCCATCGCACACACCCCCGCCTGCCCCCCAGGACAGAGCACACCCTGTCAGTGTTTCCACAGAAATACACACACTGACCTCTACTAATAGTTGTTTGAAACGTCTCAGATGTTGTGGGAGGCTGATGTCAGTGTTACGTGGTTTCCAGGGAAGAAGAGCATCGAATCTGGGCACGGGCTGACACAGGCGTGGCTCCTGGGGACCTGGCTGAAGCAGCCACTGGCTGGAAGGGACAACATCTGGGGGGGGCGCCGACAGCTGGCAGCGTGAGCTGCGTGCAACCACAACATCTGAGACCTTTCAAACAACTATTAGTAGAGGTCAGTGTGTGTATTTCTGTGGAAACACTGACGGGGTGTGCTCTGTCCTAGGGGGAAGGCGGTGTGTGTGTGTGTGTGTGTGTGTGCGCGCGCGCGCGCGCGATGGGTGGGTCTTTGAAAAAGCACGAGTCATTGCCACATCCTTGGTTCTGAAGACGCCCCTGCCAGAGGGAGGGTCTGTGCTCCACATCTCGGCAGGATTCCTGGGAGCTACTCCCTAAGGGGCCACACAGGAACAGAGCCTGGGGGAGGGGGGGGCGCTACACCTAGAAGGTTCTCTAATCACAGAGATCCGACTCAGCGTGTGTGTGTGTGTGTGTGTGTGTGTGTGTGTGTGTGTGCGCGCGCTCACACCTGTTAGCATCTCACTGCCCTGGGATAGTCTGTGGTTTTCCTCTCCTTCCCCAGGTGAGGCTGTGAAGTGAGAAATCATTTCTCATCACCCCAATTGCCCTGGCCCCTATGCAAATGCCTGGCAGGGAGCAGCTGCTCCCCAATATGCTCTAAGTGAGGGGGGATGTCTTCAATGGCCCTTAGTGTTTCTGACCGTTGCTCCTGCTGCCAGGGGGAGACACTGGAGCAGTGGTTCTCAACCTTCTGGCCCTTTAAATACAGTTCCTCATGTTGTGGCCCAACCATAAAATTATTTTCGTTGCTACTTCATAACTGCAATGTTGCTACTGTTATGAATCGTCATGTAAATATCTATCTGATACGCAGGATGGTCTTAGGCGACCCCTGTGAAAGGGTCGTTCGACCGCCAAAGGGGTGGCGACCCACAGGTTGAGAACCGCTGCACTGGAGAGTGACAGCAAAGGTAAGATTCGGGCGCCGAGGGCAGGAAAGGCAGGGGCCTGTGAAACGTGAACCTGTTCAGGAGGGCTGAGCGCTGGCAAACGGTGACTCGAGCTAAAAGGGCCGCGCAGACGGCTGTTCTGTTCACGTGAATCAGCTCCCAGCGGAGGCAGAGGTGGGTCAGTAACCGCAGCTCACAGGACGCTACAGGGGACCCAGAGGCTGCTGGGGAGTTCCAGGGGGGCAGCCGTTGCAAAAAGTCACCTGCCCTCAGATTCCACGTGGGGAAGAAGGTTCCTTTAAAATGGCCGGTGGAACCGTAGTCTAGGAAAAGGCGATACATCCTGTTTTGTTACCTAGAGCCCCAGACTCTAGGCAATAACGAAAAGGACATTATTAACGACGAGGAAAACTGCCGTCCACTGAGCGCCCCTGACGTCATTATTGCGTTTATCCTCGACCACAGCCCGCACTTTCCACCAGGGGGCGCTCCCAGGGAGGTGAGGAGGTGCCCCAGGACCCGCAGGCTCTGAGCACCTGCCCGATCCATCCTTTGTCCGCCACAAGCTCTGTAGACCCAAATTCAAATATTGTGGCGTGGGGGATGGTTTCCATTTTGGACGCGTGGCAGCTAGTGGTTAAATGAAGGTTTCATTTCTGGGAGAGACGGAATATAAAAAAGAGCCCTTAAAAACAAGGAGAAACGGAGAAGTATTAACATTGGAGGGGACAGGAAAATCCACTGAAATATTAAGGGAAAAGTATCCAAAATGTTCAGAATTTAAAATGTCCCAGAAGCTGGGCTCTAACCCAGGCCCCGGAGAGTGGGATGCAGGGAGAGATGAGGAGAACCTCAGGCCCAGCGCAGGCTGGACGCGCTGGACTGCCCGTCGCCGTGGGCTGGGGGAGCCGGGCCTCAGCGTGGGCAGGAAAAGGGGTCATATCCGACTCCGCTCTCCACGGGTGACTGTGTGAAACCACAGATGTAAGCATGCAACTGAAATGTGAAATCCTACTTCGAATGGTAATTAGATTTTAATGAAGTTAAATGTTCTTAAAGGCATGAAGTGGAAAAGGATGTTTCTTTAAACCTAGGACATTTTAGCTCGGCCGGCGTGGCTCAGTGGTTGAGCGTCGACCTATGAACCAGGAGGTCACGGTTCAATTCCTGGTCAGGTCACATGCTGGGGTTGCGGGCTCGATCCCCAGTGGGGGACCTGCAGGAGGCAGTTGATCAATGATTCTTTCTCATCGTTGATGTTTCTCTCTCTCTCTCCCTCTCCTTTCCTCTCTGAAATCAGTAAGAATATATATTAAAAAATCTTTAACTGACTCAAATGCTAGAGGACCACATTCTTAGACACTAAATAATTCACGCTGTTCTAAAACTTTTAGTGAAATCCAAGTTCTTTGTATGGAAACTAATACAATAATTAATGCACGATAATATAAGAATGAACTCTGTTTTGAGTACGCGCAACTGTAAAACTACTTTTGCCCCAGCCTGTA